CCCCATCGCCAGGAAAAATACACACTGTCACTTTAATAAAAATAATGTTAGTGAGGCACAGATGACACACCCACACTTTAATGAGTCTCTCTGGAACTACAAGGTCTGTTGGATAACTTTGGTCTCATTATAAAAGGTGAAATTAACCATTGTGGGGTTTATTTTTTATGCGTTATTTTCTGTTAATTAATTAATTGCAGGGGCTGCACAGTGGCGCAGTGGTTAGCGCTGTTGCCTTGGGGTCTTTCTGCGTGGTTTGCATGTTGTCCCTCTGCACACGTGGGTTCTCTCTGGGTACTCTGGCTTTCTCCCGCGGTCCAAACACATGGCTGTCGGGTTGATTGGCCTCAGGTGTGAGTGTGCCTGCATGGTTGTTTGTCAGGTGCTTCTAAAAGACACACCATGCCGGCAAATCGGCGTAATATTACCACAATGGTATGTCTATAAACACGCAAATTTAGCGGCATTTGTTCCGCCTCGCTTGGTAGTTAAGGTTGGTTTCACTTCAGGGTTCATTTCAAGATCCTGGTTCTGGTCTATAGGGCCTTACATGGACAAGCACCATCTTACATTGGTGATCTTTTTAGTTCCTACACCTCCAGCAGGTCCCTGAGGTCCAGTGATCAAAGCCTACTGGTTGTGCAGCACCAGGCTAAAGGCCAAAGGTGACAGATCATCTGCTGCTGTGGCCCCCAGACTCTGGACCTCTCTCCCCCTGAGCCTGAGATCAGTGGACTCAGTGGTCTCCTTTAAAAAGCAGCTGAAGACTCACTTGTTCAAGCTGGCTTTTGTATGACCTTCTTCACCTCTCTCTCTTTATTCTGCTCTCCCCACCTATCCCACCTTCCTCAGGATCCACTGATTTCCCTCTTTCCTGTTCACTCTCTCTTTCTTAACTTTTTTTTATCACAATTGTCTATTTTTGCTTATTTTAAATATATTTTTAAACATTTTCTAATTGCTTTTATATATTTTTACATTTTTTAATTTTTTGTTGTTGTGAAGCGCCTCGTGATTTTTATCTTGAGAGGCGCTATAGAAATGATATTTTCTTCTTCTTCTTCTTCTTTATGCTTGACGCGTCCGCGAGGTCCGCACGGCTCCGCGCGGCAAAATTGCGTCATTTTAACAACCACGCCCCTCCACCGCGCCTCCGCACGGCCCAAACTTTCCACACCGCGCACCTAGGAAATTTTCTAACCACGCAGGCGGTCGGACGCTGAAAAACATGGCGCCGGCAAGATCTAGTATGGCAGAGGTTCGTAAATACAGCCATTTGTATGCTTCAGCTCTCAAAGATCACCATGATCAACATGTTGTTAATTCTTGGAGAGAAATAGCTCGCACTGTCGGAAAAGACGAGGACGCTGTTAAAAATGCTGAAATGCCATGTTGTAAACAGTAATTTCTACTTCTACTATGGTGTAGTGTTGGATGCATGCCGTAGAGCTCCATGCTGCCCCCTACAGTTTGGGAGAATATTGGCTCACCGCAGAGACGAGCCACATGAACCATAAACGCTGCGAGTTGTGAAGCGCGTTCCATCCGCGAGCCGCATCACCAAGCGGAAAGTGAATGCGTCAAGCATAAACCAAGCTTAACATTGCAGTAATGGTCTGTCGTATGAGCCCTGACGCAACAGAGGCAGATGTCATGATGACGTGGGGAGTTATTGCTGCGCTCCGGCTGGCAAATTTATTGAAAATGAAAGTAAACACGGGCAATAAGGTTTGCTTTTTGAACAAAATCAGCTGACATGGCAAACTGGAGTGCCGCAGAGCTCCACGAGCCTCTCTGTTAGAGCTGAAGCTCAGATCACCAGAGACTGCTCAGGGACTGATGGGAACAGACACCTTTAGGAGCTGCTTGTTAAAAAAACGTAACGTTTTATCACAATAAAAAGCAAGTTATGTCAAAGATAAACAGAAGTCTGTGGCAGCGCAGAGACCGCCCCCATACCCGCTTTATGACGCCATCACCTAATCTTTTATAAAATTGCCGCGATTGCGCCACATTGTCGCCACGGTCTGATCTTATAGACGACCTTTATCCTCCCCAGGGAGCCGCGGTAAATCCCGTTTTGAAAACGCTCTGGTCCTGTAAAAACAGCTGTGTTGCCCTGCGATGGACTGGCAATCTCTCCAGGGTGTATCCCGCCTATTTGCCCGAAGACAGCTGGAGGTAGGCACCAGCCCCCGCCGACCCTGCGTGGATTAGCGGGTACAGAAAATGGATGGATGAATAATTATTCCAGGGTGTCCGCGGGGTTTTAAAAAGTATTAAAAAGTGATAAATTAAAATAGTCAAATTTAAGGCCATTAAAAGTGTTAAATTTGGTCTCAGAGGTATTATTTTTTCCAAATTAGGTATTATTTTTTTCAGACTATCAGGTGTCGTATTCTGAACATCGACATAGAATTATATTCCGAATGAAATGTTTTGAACGATTATAAAAACAAAACAAGCCGATTATTTGCTCCTCCCGCTTGCGCTGCCCTGAGTTAAAAATGAAGCGCTCCTCCACAGTGTTGCCAACTTGGCGACTTTGATGCTATTTCCAACAGCTTTTCAGACCCCCTTCCTGACTTTTTAAATCTTAAAAGTACCTAGCGAACACCTCAGAAACATCTCTGGTAACCCTTAGCTACTTTCTGGATAACTGTCGTCGACGTTTCCTGCAGGTTAGCTAAACACTCCGCCTGCGCTCCGGACCGTTCTTCAGGACATTAGGAAAGGGAATGATGTAGTGATGTGTCGGTCGCTAAAGAAACAGCTCTCGGAGCCGGCTCCTTGTTGGATTAACCAGAGTGAGTGACACACACACCGCACCTGCGGGCTCCTGAGCCGCTAAAAACGGCTAAATGTGCGCGTGCGGCGCGCTAAACACACGTGCAGCTTGCCCCTGATTGCTGTGAGACCGGGTTGGGGGTGGGGGGTGCAGCTGTGGTTGGGACAATTATTACATTAACTGATGGACTTGTAAATAAATAGTTTATAAATAAGGTAGAAATAAGTTCCTCACGCTGATAACTAATAACTAATCTCTCTGAGGACACGGTGCTAGTGCACGCTCCTACAGCACCTTGACACGACTCAATAAATGTTATGCAAAATTTAGTGAACATCAATTTGCATGTATTTGTTATAAATGCCACAGTATAATTCTTGCTGTCAGTATTTGCAAGATATTGGTATTTGGGTCTGTACTGGTTGGACTTAAATGAGTTAAACCAAGGTCTATAGCCCTTGGGTCATAAACTATGAGCTGTAAGTATGTTGGTCTTTTTATACTGGGAATCAGGAGTTATTTTAGTGATCATCTTGTTTCTTGTTTATTTTTGCCCTGATTGTGCCCTGAGCAGTTTTATGACTGAATAAAAACAACAAAAAAATCTACATAAATTGAAAAATCGTCTTAAATAATCAAGATCTCAATTTCAGTCACAATAATCGTGATTATTGTTTTTGCCGTAATCGAGCAGCCCTACTTTAGCATATCCGGTCACATAATGATGATGTCATATTCAGTGGTCGTTCTGCATCATTTCAGGCCTCGTGGTCAACTGTCTGAACCGCTGAACAGAAGTGCCTGGCTTATTTTCTAAGTAAAATAAATATGTGCAATACATTGTCAACATCAGTGAGTCTCTAAGTCTATTCTTTTTGTATGTTATATATGTTAAAATACGTGTAAATAGGTCGCTGATTAACACTTGCAATTTAGTGTTGTGATGGTTTTAAAAAAATTCTGAAGGTGGTAAAAAAAAGTATTAAAAAGTAGTAAATTTTACTTAAGGATTGCTGTATATACCCTGTATTCGTAATTAACACGTTAAATTCCCACCCCTAATTCGCATTTCTTCTCTGTTTACCTTAAAGATGGAGTCCATAGGGCAACGTTATTAAGGGGAAGAAGGGGAGATGTAAAAATTTGATAAGCTAAAGCTCCGCCCTTGCTCCCCTCCCCTTCTGAAAGGAGCTGAAAGCCACGCCTCATACCGCACACATGCACACAAATAGCCCTGTAATGCTAATGATCAAGTAATGTTTTTGTTATGTTCCTGCTCAGACACACCTGATCCTAACTGCTGAATTTTCTCCTCAACCTTCATCGGGTTCTGCAGTTAGCTGCTGGTCACTAGTTTTATTTAAACCTCCAGTGTTTAAGCAGGAAATCATCTAAAACCAGCAGGAAACCGGGTGGCCATGCTAGCACATCCCTGCTAATGCTACAACAAGCTAAAACAATAATCTGATGCAACTTAAGGTTGAACGCTACGCTGATCACTTAGCTCCAAGTGAAAGATACATCTCTATTCATTCCCCTCCTCTTCAACAGTTATTCAATGCAGTTGAGTTAGCATTCAAGCTAGGTCAGTGCGCTAAGCTGACCGAGGCATCTGTGTCAACCTGCAGTGCATGCTGGGTACTGGGGCATGTGTGTATGCAACTCTATTGGCCAGTGGTCTATGACTCATGTAAATGATTGGTTTTGCTACAGAGGCCAGAGGAGGGTTTAAAAACGTACCCCAGCTTCAAACACCAGTGATGAATCGTTAGCCGGCCAGCCAGCCGAGCGCTTCCTCTGTGTAGAATCAGACGAGTCTGGCAGGCCAGGCTAACGATTCATAGCTTTCATAGTTTTGTTTAAAAGGTTCTCAGAGTCTGAAACTTTGTCTTCACTAACAACTCCTGGAAAACGCCGACGTTACTCATTCCCACATGCAGCTTGGAATCAAGCCAAGAGAAGAACTATTTGAAATGAATTGTTATTAAACAAAAACATGTTTGTCTCTGAATCTGGGAAAGCGTTTGTTGTTAGCCTCAAGGGCGACCTGCTGGCTTCGTTATCACCTGCAAGTCGCTTTGGACAAAGCGTCGGCTCAATATATAAACATAAATTATCCCAAAGCAAACTAATCAGAACTATTCCAGCAGAGGAAGTTCTTCTCATGTTTAATGTCCCAACTCTGGCTGACCTTCCCCTCTTTTCCATTCAGGAGGATTTTCGGAATAAAGTTCAAGATTACATCAAGAACTACGCCAGATGATAGATGCAGCGGGCTCCCGACATCAGCCGGCACCAACCAACCTCTGCTTACACGGCCCACTCCTACATGTGTGATTCAGCAGCAGCAGGCTCCTTCCTCTGGCCACACCCCCTTTTTGTTGCAGTAAACCTCACACTGCAGGAATGAAATTAAAACGTAAAGAAATTGTTCAAAGGAAGGACTTGGTAAAAGAAAAAAAAAGCTTTAAACATGTGTGTTCCATACGTTATTCCACCTCCCTACGGCGATCCTCGGATCGAGCCTCGGCAGAAACATCTCAACATGGAGTCTCCCACCGTGGTGGAGAAGGGTCCACCAGTTCCGGGTTCCAGTGCCTGCTTTGCTTGTGTCGCTCAAGAAGAAATGCACGAGGGTTCACGAACTTTCACACGAACGACGACGCGTCAGTTTGGTTGTAATAGTTCAGCACTTCATCCGTTTCTGATCCGCCCGGTTTAACAGCATGAGAATGACCACATTAACACATGTTTTCACCTTCCACACACACACACACACACACCATCTCGGTGTAAAGAATTTATTTAACCCAAAAGTGCTTTTTCAGCTTTTTGGCGACGGATCGGTTGACAGTTGAAAATGAAGTGACTGGTTTAGATTTTATTTTGCATTCATAAAATAAAACTAATAAATGGGAATGGAATTGTACTCGTCTCTGTTTTTGCTCCTCTCCTTTCACGTCTGGTCGAGAAAAGTCTAACTTCATGTCAACTCCGGGTTTTATTTGCTCTTTGGGATTAAGCTCGGGTAAATTAGCAATAGGGAAACAAAGACGTAAACTTATGATGAGGCTTTGTAAATGTTTGCTGAAGTTTGGTTCCCAGGGCCTCCCGTTTGTCCAGCCGTTCTTCAACAGTCCACGCTGGGGCCTTTGGTCAGAAGAGTCGAGCGAAAAGCAACAGTCCGGTCGTAAATCTGCAGCTTTTTCAGCCAGAAATGATGTTTCCCACAAACTCAGCGAGAGGCCACGTGGATGTTGGAGAGTAAATAAACATTTTTAGCTCTTTGCTTTCGTGCTTGCTGGTGTTTTGAATCATAATTAGGATTTTCTGAAGGGTTTCACTCGTAGCGTTTAAACTTGAACAGTCAGAGCAGGCTCCTCGCTCCCACCAGTGCAGCAACATCAGGTAGTTTCTGCCTGTGGTGTGTTTGGCTAAAGCTGTAAAAATACACATAAGATTGTGTGTGTGTGTGTGTGTGTGGGGGGGGGGGGCTTTGAGTAATTAAAACATTTTCTTATAATTGGGGAATGAATAATTCTGTCTCATTAAAATCTACAGCATTGATAAAGAAATGCACATCAACCCTCCCACTGTCCTGATGGGTGTGACCCCGCGAGGAAAGTTGACCATTGAGCAGGACTGATGGTTCATCCCTTGAGGTCCACGAGGCAGGGGTGAGGTGGTGCTCACTCCTCACCCCTGCCTCATGGAACCAAGGGATAAAGCATCAGTCCTGCTCAATGGTCAACTTTCCTCGCGGGGTCACACCCATCAGGACAGTGGGAGGGTTGAGGCAAATAAATCACTGATGTTGACCAAGTAGATCTGCTGCTCCACCACACTGAAAGGAGCCAGTTGAGGTGGCTCGGGCGTCTGATTAGGACGCCTCCTTGGTGAAGTTTTCTGGGCACGTCCAGCTGGAAGGAGACCTAACAGAAGACCCAGGACACGCTGGAGGGACCGTCTCTCGGCTGGTCAGGGAGCACCTTAGGATTCCCCAGAGGAGCTGACCCAAGTGGCTGGGGAGAGGGAAGTCTGGGCCTCTCCGCTTAGGCTGCTTCCCCATCGCTCTGACCCCGGATAAGCGGAAGAGATTGGATGGATGGACATTAAATATTGGATTTTTTTCCTGTCATACACTGCCTGGATAAAAAAGTCTCCACCTGGATTTAACAAAGCAGACAGGTACGAGTCTCCTATTGGATAATTACTGCAACGTTATGTAACCCAACGGTGCAGTGAGCTGCTTCTCATGTCTTAAACAACCAGGTGGAAAGACACATCTGGTGGTCGTGGACACATGTTAGCCTGTGTGAGAAGGGTCAGATCATTGGCATCAAGCAGAGAAAACATCTACAGAGATGCAGAAACGACTAAAACTGGGATCAGAACTGTCCAACGCTTTATTAGAACTGGTCTGATGAGTCCAGTTGGACCCTGGTCCAGAGTGATGGTGCATCAGGGTAAGAAGAGAGGCAGATGAAGTGATCATGCCTACTGTACAAGCCTGTGGGGGCAGTGTTATGATCTGGGCTTGCTGCAAGTGGTCAGGTCCAGGTCCAGCAACAGGAAGTGCTCCAAGAACGAGGTCAGCTGACTACCTGAATATCCTGAATGGCCAGGTTATTCCATCTTCCCTGATGGCACGGCCATATTCCAAGAGGACAATGCCAGGATTCATCGGGCTCAGATGCTGAAAGAATGGTTCAGGGAGCATGAGACGCCATTTTCACACAGACCTTAACCCCACTGACAGTCTTTGGGATGTGCTGGAGAGGGCTTTGTGCAGCGGTCAGACTCTACCATCATCAGTGCAAAATCTGGGTGAAACATTAATGCGACACTGCATGGAGATAAATCTGGTGATGCTGCAGAGGCTTATGGGAACAACGCCACGGCGAATGTGTGTCGTAGTCAGCGCTAATGGAGGTCCAACAGAGTATTAGAGTGTAACCTGTTGTTGGCTGGGCGGTGCTTATAGGAGATGGATGGATTTTTGTCAACCACACAAGTTGATGTTTGTGCTTTCATTTTCTTTTGCTCTTCATTACACACGGGTTATAAGGGTTTGTTGTTACCTTTGATTTTTGTGCCATTTTTTCCTGAATTAGACTTCTTGTTTGGGAGTCTGCTGGCTCTGTTCCACCTTTACCTACGTCTAAAAATCATTTAATTGATGTATTTTACTAGAAAATCAGTTTTAATTTAAAATAGTCTTAAATTTAGGGAGAAGTCCAGCAGCCACGGGTAAATACCGTGTCTTTCTTAGGTTGTGTGTTGATTTTAAAACATTAAAAATGTTAATGATTCATATGTTAATGTAAAAAATCCAAATATAACTTTAGAAATGACGAATCAATCGTTATGAAGCTTTAGCAACTGTAGCTGCAGCACACTTTGGTTTTGTCTGGTTGTGAAGAGAATCCAGACATTCCTGTTTTTTGTAAAATTGCATTTTTCTGACATGGAAGCTCTGCAAGAGGTGTAAAAATCTTTATTATTTATAACGTTTATGCAGAAGAGCACCTTAAACAATCATAATATCCCATAAAAGCAGGTGATGCATCCTCTTCCACGTGCATGGCCACACCGCGTCTCCCAGCTGTTTGCAGGTTTGTCTCGGCTGAGAGGGAACTGCAGACGGTGCAGATGTCTGTCAGTCACACACAGCATGTGGGTTTGGAAGAAACACAATCAAACTGTACACTTGCCCTCCAGATGCAGCATATCGCATTATTCTGGGTCCACAGTGACAGCTGGCAGCCGGGTAACGAGATGGGGGAGCACTATAAATCACATTTTCTTCTGGGTCCCAACATGCACAGGCTGCTTCGTTTAGCTGGAACACGCACTGAAACAAGTCCTCATAAACCATCTTCAATTATCCTACAGCGCATGTTCCACACCTCGGTGATGAGGCGAGGAAAAATAACGAGAGGCTGCTGAAATTGTGCCCCCGTAGAGCTTCTGCAGAGAGCATACCTGCTGCCAGCCGCACATGAGGAGATGACTCGGTTTGAATGCTGGGTCATTTATCACAGAAATTGGCTCTAGCCAGCACTTTTGTTCCTCTGGAGGTGCTTTTGATCGCTGTAAGATTTAAGGAAAAGGGACTGGGTGCTTGCTGTGAGGTTGGAGTTTTTATGTAATAAAGTAATAGAAACTAAATTGATCACGAGAAGCAGAATCATCAGATGTAATGACATCAGTGTAGTGTCTGCATGTTGAGCCTTCTGTCTCAGAATCACAAGCCATCTTCTTTATGGTTCATCTTCTTAGTCACATCTTCGTGAGGCAATCGGACTAAAGTAGGGAAACACAAACCTTCTCTATCTTGTTCATTTGGCTCTCATCACGGACCTCTGCAGCGCCGGAGAACAAGGAAATGTTTTTTTCCCCCAGGCGGATACAGTTTGGATGAGATAATTCTGCATTTAAATGTTTTATTTTGGTTCCTATTGACCATCAGTTGTGAGATTTTTACTCCAAACTGAGAAAAAAGTGCTTATCAGTTCTAAAAATGGAATTCTGGTTCACCTTTAAGAGATTAGACTTCTGTATTTCATGCATTTTGAAACAAATGCAACATCCTTTTTATTTCATGGACACCAGATTAGAATTTTCCTGCACGAGTTGGGTTGCCTGCAGATGTTTCCAGGCTGATGTGGTTTCCTCTAATCAAACTGTTCTGTGAGTTTTCTCCTGCCTGTCCAGGTGTGTGTGTAAGTGTGTGTTGAGATGCATGTTGACTCACATTTGTCTGTGTGTCTAAAGACTAGTGCTTTTCTACTTCCCTTAGTTCTGCTTCAAAAGCTGCCCACACCGTTTCCAGCTGCGGGAGGCTGCAAACAACAACAACAACATGTTTAGTCACGCCAACTTAAACAGAAACAATGAAAGCATCACTGTGATTAAATAAGCTCCAGTCCTCTGCATCTGTGAGAAGACACAACATAATCACCAGATGAAATCCCTTTTTTGTTTGTTTTAAATAAAAGTACATCCAGGTATTCCATGCTTTCGTTCTTTTTTAAACACAGAAACAGTTTTGTTTACCTGTTTGTAGCTACGGTTTCGCCGACAGCTGCCGGCTTCTTCAGGCTGACGCTGATGGTGGCGCGTCACTTCCTTCTCCGTTTATCTGCGGGCAGCAGAGGACGTTGTCGCCCTCTACTGCCCGCTCTCCCCTCTCCGACGATGCAGTCCCAAAACCAGTGATAACCCTACCATACATCAGAGGCATAATGGAAAAAATAAGAGCAACAATGAAAAAACACAACATAAACACACCAACAAAGCCATACACAACAGTTAGAAACAGACTAGTACACCCAAAAGACAAAATATCAGCTGGACAAAAATGTGGAGTCATCTACGAAATCCCATGCAAACTCTGCAATAAAACATACATAGGAGAAACCGGACGCCAACTCAATACACGGACAATAGAACACAGAAAGGAGTGCGAGAAAGAGGCAAATCGTAAACACACAAGAGCAGCAAAAGAAGAAGCAGAAAGTACAATAAAAAAGTCAGCCGTAACAGAACACTGCTTAAGAGAAAACCGTATAATGGACTGGGACAGCACACGGATCATAACCACTGAACAACAAAAATACAAAAGATGGATCAAGGAAGCAATCGAGATAAGGAGACGTGGATGTGGGACCATGAACAGGGACGACGGAGTTTACACGCTGGACCACGCATGGGACTGCATCGTCGGAGAGGGGAGAGCGGGCAGTAGAGGGCGACAACGTCCTCTGCTGCCCGCAGATAAACGGAGAAGGAAGTGACGCGCCACCATCAGCGTCAGCCTGAAGAAGCCGGCAGCTGTCGGCGAAACCGTAGCTACAAACAGGTAAACAAAACTGTTTCTGTGTTTAAAAAAGAACGAAAGCATGGATTTACAAAGACACAGCAAGA